GGTAACTACAGCGGATTCGGGAGGGCGGGGAGGAATCCTTCGGATGCATGTAAATACCAAATCTGACCGTGTCAACGCAAATATTTTCCTCTAATTAACATATGAAAAAACTTAGGTTTCCCCCCCATCGTGTCCGTGTAAATAGGGCCTTAGTTCACCCAGCGCTGTTTACATTTCTTTGTGAAAGAATCCATTCCACTTGATTAATAGGAGAATACTCAAACCACTAAAAATCCACTCCGGGTTTTCCTGGTTACCAACAACAATTCGCCACACCACATGCCGTAACTAACATAGTTTAGCGCTATGTTAGTTACGGCAGCTGTTGACCAGGGTGCGGGCGGGGGTAAGATGCGTGAGAGAAGTGGAGTGCTATGTCTGTAGCTTCTTAGCTAGTGCGTCTGTATTGCACACCGCTAGATTAGTGCTACGTTAGTCCCGGCAGTTGTCGCCCGGGAGTGGTAGTGGTGTATGTGTGACTCTGTGTGTGTGCATGTGCATGATGGGGTGAAAGGGGTGTTAGGATGCATGAAAAAAGTGGAGTGTGTGCTATTCACACAAGGAGAGCTTTTGGTCAGGCTACTTCTTGTTGCTCTCTAAAATAGTTATTGAATGAAGTGTTTATAATAATAATAATCATTTTATTTAAAAAGCGCCTTTCAGGATACCCAAGGACACTTTACACTAAGAAACATATCAGAAAGATTGTGTTAAAACAAACAACAAGCACAGTGCAAAGATCAAGATGAATAAATTGAAGTATAAAATACATAAAGAATATAAAATACATACAGCAAAGTTAAGGATAAGCAAGTCTAAAGAGATGTGTTTTCAGAGCAGTCTTGAATAGAGAAAGAGAGGTGGTGTTTCGTAAGTCAGGGGGTAGAGAGTTCCAGATGTGAGGGGCAGAGCAGGTGAAGGCCCTGATGGTGGACAGGCGGGCAGAGGGTACGTGGAGATGTAGTGAAGAGGAGGATCTGAGAGAGCGAGAGTGGATGGAGATGTGTAGGAGGTCAGATAGGTACAGAGGGGCAAGGTTGTGGATAGCTTTGAAAGTGAGAAGAAGAATTTTGAAGAGAATTTATGCAGGTAAACGATCCAGGTAGATGTTTAATGACACGTTTAAATACACCAGAATGCAGGAAATTACATTTACTTTTTTCAAAATTTTCTGAGGGAGGACCCCCAGACCCCCCCCCCCCCCATACACACACACACAACAGTGTGTCCCACCCACAGTACAAATACTTGTGACACCAATGTTCAGCCATTTCATTTGAACTGGAGCATGTTGACAGAGAGAAGAATGAGAAATGACTCAACTTTAGCATAAGCTCCGAAGCATATATATATATATATATATATATATATATATATATATATATGTATATAATTAGTTGATCACCTTTGATCGCTTCGACTCATGTATGATGCCACTTAACTTGATTTAAGAATGAATCCAGCTTGTTTCTGAAAACTCACTCTCCTGCCACAACAGTGCAACAACATACAGTTAATATTAATGACCAAAATATTTAGCAGACTTCAAAACATTGAGTTCAATGACTATTTAAACAATACATGCGGTGAGAAATTTTAATAATTGAATTTTTGTGCGGGCAGCACGGTGGCACAACTGGTAGAGCTGCTGCCTCTCAGCGAGCAGGTCCTTGGTTCAAACCCCAGTCCAGGGGCCTTTCTGGGTGGAGTTTGCATGTTCTCTCCATGCATGCGTGGGTTTTCTCCGGGTGCTCCGGTTTCCTCCCACAGACCAAAAACATGCATGTTAGGCTGATTGGTAACTCTAAATTGTCCCTAGGTGTGAATGAGAGAGTGAATGGTCGTTTGTCTCTATGTGGCCCTGTGATGGACTTGCGACCCGTCCAGGGTGTACCCCGCCCCTCGCACAGTGATTGCTGGACATGGGCACCAGCGACCCTCGTGACCCAAAATGGAATAAGCGGGTAAAGATAATGGATGGATGAATTTTTGTGCTGCTGTTCGACATATTGTTTTAATTATTTTTGTACTATTAGTGCTTAGCATATCTTTTAGTTGATGTTTTTCTTTGTTCATATCTTAGATCTTATTACTGTTTTTCTTTTACATTTTATTGTTGGATGTAACTGGGACCCTGTGTACAAAATTTCGTCCCACCACATGCACCACATGTGGTGCGAACGACAATAAAGTAATTGACTCTCTAGAAAGTCCCTGCTCAATAATCCAGGTATACTATCCAACATTTTCAGTCAGGTCATCGGGAAAGTTTCTTTTTTTTGTGCTGAAACGTTTTGCCTTCGATCCAGAAGGCTTCATCAGTCAAGGAAACACACAACAAAACTGATTCTTCCCCCAACATGTTGGCAATGGAGGAAGGGGGTGTGACAAAGAGACCATCTTAGCTCCAACATTGGTTTGTTCCACTTTGGAGTAAGTTGTTGGGGGAAGAATCAGTTTTGTGTCGTGTATTTCCTTGATGAAGCCTTCCGGATCGAAGGCAAAACGACGTTTCAGCACAAAAAAAATAAACTGTCCCGATGACCTGACTGAAAAGTGTTGGATAACTGACTCTCTGTTAATTCTTATAATGTGATGGCTCATATTAAGGAATTATGTTTTCAAAGTGTAAATAGTTTGGAAATGTTTCACCCAGAGATAACTTAGTAGTGTGTCTACCATAACTACCTAAACAGAATCAGTTGAAATGGTTGATAAATTTAAGTCTGTGTGAAACAGCTACTTGATTGTGAAGATGTCTGAACTCAAAATCCATCCTGCAGGGTTCTGAAGTGAGCACTAGATGGAGGCGTACAACACAGTGATGGTTGCAGTTACAGCAGTAAGGCTGCGCTATATAATTCCTCCAGAAATTTATACAGTGAAAGTAATACAGTGAAATATGGTAATCCCAGCTTTTTAAATACTGTAGTCATCTAAATGTTTTGCACATATGTCTGCCTTTTTTTTTTTGATTGAGCTTACAACCCTTTTTTGTTTTAACTTTATAAAAATATGTTTAAGAAAAGTATTTCTTTATAATAGTAGATTTAAAATTGTAAATGCTGGTGCAGTGATTTACCTCAGAAAGGACTTTAAATGGTCAACATCTTGTCTTTTCCAGCTTTGTTTTGCACTGCCAGCCCAGTGCCTGAAGTCTTTCAATGACTATAGTAATGTTAATTCAGCTGGCCCGTGCCATGATACAACCCTCACCCTGTTTTATTGTAAATAATGAGTCTCATGAACCCAGATGCCAAGAGATGTTCTGAACTTTTCTTCAGTTATTTACAAATTCTACTTTTTTTTTTTCATTTTCCAAATAGCTACACAATAACTACATGCCTTATGTTTGTATTTCACCCTTTGTTTGGACATGTTTATGGTATTAGTGTGTAGCTTTTCTTTTTTTTTTTGTAGCTTATAGTTTTTCGTAAGTACTACCACTGATTCACTCTGTTTTATCTTTACTGGAGGCATTTTTTTGTTGTTGTCAGTATTCACTTAAATTTAGTAAATGACTAATGCCTAAATCTATATTCCTAACCCTTTGTTCTATTTCTGCTACCCTTTAGCTGATTTAATCTAATCCATCAAACACTGTACCAGCTCTTTACCCTCATTAGGGTCCTTAAGGGGGCATTGAAGTTTGCCCAACCAGTCTATATGTGTTTTGTGGACTTGGGAGAAAGCATTAGAATATGTTCCCTAAGGTGCTCTGTGGGTATGGGATTGGGGGTCCATTGCTACAGGCCATTTAGTCACTATACAAATAGTGTGAGAGTCTGGTTCTCATTGCCAGAAGTAACGCAAACCTTTTCAGGTTGGAAGTTGGACTTTTCCAGGACTGCCTGTTGTCACCAATTCTGTTCATAACATTTATTAACATAATTTTGCAGTGCAGCCTATAGGCAGAAAGGATCCTGTCTGGGTGCCTCAGGATTCCTTCTATCCTATTTATGGATAATGTGGTCCTGTTGGCGACATTGTGATGTGATCTCCAGCTTTCACTGGAGCGGTTCACAGACAAGTGTGAAGCAGCTGGGATGAGGATCAGCACCTCTAAATCTGAGGCCATGGTCTTCAGTCGGAAGAGGGTGGATTGCCCTCTCTGGTTTGGGAGTGAGGTTCTGCCACAAGTGTAGGAGTTCAAGTATCTCAGGGTTTTGTTCAAGAGGGAGAGAAGAACTGGGTGTGAAATTGACAGACTGACTGGTGCAGCATTTGCAGTATTGCAGACTCTTTGCCGGACCATTGTGGCGAAGAGAGAGTTGGGTTCCAAGGAGAAACTCTCTGTTTACTGGTTGGCCTACTTTCCTGCCCTCACATATGTTCACGAACTCTAGGTTGTGACTAAAAGAACGAGCTTGCAGACACAAGTGGTTAAAATTAGTTTTCTCTGCAGGGTAGCTGGACTCTCCCTTAGAGATAGGGTGAGAAATTAAGTTATCTGACAGAGACTCAAACTAAAACCACTGTGGCTCCACATGAAGAGGAACCAGTTGAGGTGATTTGGGCATCTGATAAGGATACCCCCTAGATTTTTCCCTAGGGAGGTTTTCCTGGCATATTCAATTGGGAAGAGACCCCTGGAAGACTCAGAGACTACGTCTCTCAAATGATCTTGGAACACCTTGGAATCCTCACAGAATAGATGGAAGAGATGGCTGTGGAAGAAATGTCTGGGCCTCCCAGCTCATGCTGCTGCCCCGAGACCCGATTTAGGGACAAGCGAGAGATTATGAATGGATGCATTGTCTCAAAATTGCCTAGGATCTTTCTGGTACTCTAAAAGCAGTAATGCTATCCTCAAACATTGTCTGTACAAACAAAACCTATACATTTTTATAACAAATTTCAATTTAATTCAGTTTATTTCTAAAGCGCTGTCACAACAAGTCATCGCAAGGCACTGAACAGAAACATTCATATACATAAAAATTCAGTTAGTAAAAGTTATCTATCTAAGGAAACCAGCTGATTGCGTTGAATCTTCCCTTCGTTGCAGTTTCCCAACAAATAAAACCTTTAATTTATTTTACTCAACAATCTTTGTCGCAGTGAAGCAATCCAGTCCTGAACCCAATGCCAGGACTCCATGTGATCCTAAAGAACCCCTTCAGTCCGTTTACTCCTCCACACAACTATAGCAGTCATGAGCAGTGTGACCAGGACGGGCACGGCAATGAAGGGCACCAGGATGCTAACTGGCGGGTCATGTAGAAGCCTGCCATTCAAAGCGCAGTTGTGGAAGTATCTCTGGTGAATCTTCATGAAGAAGCCATCGACGACCTCATTGGGCCAGAAGCAGTCCATCCTCAGGGCTACCTGGTAGGTGCAGTTAGTTAGACTTTCGTAGATCCTGCAGATAAAATGGGGACATTTGACACTTAACACGATAAAGTTGAAAACAAATTATTTAAACCAACCACATTCTTTGAAGGGATCCACAATATGGCTGCCTTTCATGGCAGACCTTTAACTAAAATCATTTTATGTTGAGTGATGGAGTTGCAGCCACTTTAGTCAAACCTTGAAAATGATCGGCATGATCTCATTGAATATTGTGAGATCTGTTAGCGTTCAGAGTATCAGTTGTGGACCACTTTCAGCTACTATCACAACAAAATTGAGCTCGGCATTTGTAAGAACCAACTGAGGTATAGCTATTTTTGGGTTGGATAAGGTTAACTAGCTGTGGCAGCCATCTTGAATTGGATTGATTCCAAATGTTATTCAGTTTCAGATGTAATTTAGTGATTACCTTTTGCAAGTTTCATAAAAAACATGTGTATATATTTTGCTAACAGACTGATACACAAACACACACAGACCAGAACTAAACTGTTCTTGACAGATCCAACAAAGTTCCGTCATGTCATCTGGACGGCTTCTGTTTTTATTTGTTGAGGCGTTTCATCTTTCAACCAAAGGACTTCATCAGTCTGACGAGCCACAACAAACTGAGTCCCACAAGCAGCACACCCACATAGTGGACCAACCCGTTTGCTGGTGATAAGATGGTTTCTGGGGCCCGCCCTCTCGCCTGTCTACCCCCTCTGAGGCAGCCGTGTGCCTGGATTATTGAGCATGAACTTTGATGCTTTGAACCACTTTGTCTATGGCTACCTCAGAAGAGTCAACGAGGGAGAGGACAGGCCCCAGAAACCATCTTATCCTCAGCAAACTGATCGGCCCACGATGGGTGTGTGCTGCTTTTGAGACCGAGTTTGTTGTGGCTCCTCGGACTGATGAAGTCCTTGGGATGAAGGACGAAACATCTCAACTTTGTTGGATTTTCTACCTGGATTATTGAGCATGAACTTTGGCATTCTTGACAGATTTTCTTTTTCATTTTCATCATGCATTTTGTTTTGTTCCTCTCAGTGTGGAACCACAGTGGGGGATTCTGCAGGTGGGGGGTGGGATGGGGCACACAGAACAGTTTCTCCCATGACCAGTGGGTTTAACACAGCTAAATATAACTGCTGTGTGTGGAAGGCAGAAGAAATTGAGATGCATACCTGCTATGTGACATACTCAGTGGAGAATTGCAACATACCAGAGAGGGATTATTTCCTGGACACCAAAGAGGGCAGCAAGAACAAAAAGACAAGGACCTCAAAGTATTATTATTCATTTTTATGTTTTTTTTTATTCATAGAGTCCAGCAAATTGTACATAAACATTTTCTAGCAGACCTCATGTCAAGAAGAAGAAAAAAGACCATTACTGTATTCTAGTTTAGAAAGGTTCTTAAATATAATGAGTGTAACCTGAAAATGTGTGAACCTGCATGCTCTCATTTACATCCACCTCGATATAAGATTTCATTATTTTACCAGTGAACTTAAAGCTCTAAGATGGCAATCACAGATGGACTGACACTCACAGCTGCCCGTCACATGGCACAAGCTCCTCTTGTGGGAGACAAATTACAAGTATGGCAAATTGTTTGTGTATTTATTTGAAACCCTTGATATCAAGTATCACATTATATTGCCCTAGTTGTACATTTAGTTTCACGAGTTTGACAAAAACACTTAATTGGTGACGGCCTAGTAAGCCAGCCACCTATTATTATCCACCTGAAAAGGGTCTTGCTCTTCTGTAGACTTTTATGCGTCTCAAAACGCAACATATACCCCCACAAATGTTAAATCAAAATGACCAGCTTGGCACCATGATGTGTGATATTACTTTTATTGGTGTTTTGAGTTACCATGGCACAGTGGTGTATTCTACATGTTTGTAGTGGGTATACTGTGCTTAGAAATCAAAGTACACTGGTTAGTACAATGTAATTGTTAATTTATTTTGATTTTTAACTAGATTAAACATTTTCAAATTTCTATGATGCTTATATATTTGATTAAATGAACAACAAATTTTGTACAACAGTTGACTTGGTATTAAACATATGTTATAGAAATTATAAAACAGTATCAAAGCAAAGCGCTGCATACCGATAGATTGTTACGGAAGCGTTTAATTGCTGTTTAACGTATCAATGACACGTGCCTAATGAAATGCCATGTACTGTATCATTGGGCACTTTTAAGTGTGTATACTGAAAATCTTAAGCTTTTCTAGTGGGTATACTCTGTATAGTATCACGTAGACTATAGCACTGCCATGGCGACATAATTAGCAAACAAAGATGCCATTTTTCCCATTCACAAAGCTTGACGAAACTCTTCATAGCCTCTTACTGACATAGTGAGGTCACATGACCAAGAGTGGCGAGGTCCCTGAAGAAAACTTAGAAAGTCATGGAACAAACTCTTCCTACCACCGCATCTTTTAAAATAGGCCTATATATTATACAGTATCTCAAAACGTAGGCATTATTGTCATCTAAATTTTAAAATGGCCACCATATGGCAGTCCTTGTCAGTTTCTCCAGGAACTTTCTACTAGTACTTAATACTATTTTCCCAGTATTTTAGCCTAACTAGTTGGAGCAAAGGTCATACTAGTCAGCAGTTTTTCTACCCAAAAGTCCTAACTAGATGGATTTTTGACACACCAGTGGACCAAACGAGTTAACTAAATTTGGTCTTACCTGTTAACTAGTACCGGTACACATTTCATGCATACCAGCTAGTGCATAGCAGATTAGTTGACATGTTTTATGTGCATTAGTTATGTAATTAGGATAATGTTTCAACTATTCGACTGGAGAGAATTTTAGACTTTACCAGTCAACTAGTTATTTTTTTTCTGTACATTTGTCAGTATATAATTGACATTTGTCAGGTGCACTGTTCAACTAGTAATGACAAAAACATGTCAACTAGTTGACTAGTGATCATTTTAGTTTTTTGGTCAAACGGGCACTTTTTGGGGGGGTTCACTTGTTTATTGCACACATTTGCAAGTGACTAGCTGACATTTTATGTGCACAAGGTAACTAAGGAGAAAAATGTGTCAACTTTACAAACTATTGAACATCTAAGTATTGAACAAGGTAAAATTTTATGCTACATTAACTATGCACTTAAAACATTAACTATTTAGTAGGGATACACGATGTTATCGGCATGGTATCGGCCGATATTTGTGTTAAAGTTAAATATCGGACATCGGCCATTCCATCAAAATAACTCACTGATATATATATATATATATATATATATATATATATATATATATATATATTTATATTTTTTTTTTTTTAGGTGCTATTTTTGTGTGACAACCCAGTGACAAAATTTGACATTAAACATAATCTAAGCATAATTTTCAGCCCCTTTGTTGGCATCTGCATTTGGTAGCAGGCCAAACTGAAAAAGAACGTGCAGAATAATGTAGTATTTTAATTACACAGCAGAGAAAGCTATGTAGTCTCTGTAAGTAGGTCTAGGAAGAAAAAAAAAATCAGTATTGGTATCGGTTATCGGCCAAATATTTTTTAACATATCGGCGTATCGGATATCAGCCAAAAATCCGATATTGTGCATCCCTACTATTTAGCCAGTAAGGTCAAATTTATTGGCAGGCACTAGTCATGTATTGCACATATTTATAGTCACTAGTTAACTAGCAGATATTATGTGTTGACTAGTTTGCAAAGGCTTTTTGATATAGGTAACTCATAAAACACAGTTGACGACAAGTTTACTCCAGTTCAGAGATCTGGGGCCACATGTGGCTCTTTAGTCCCACATCGGCTCTTTGAAGCTTTGACCAAACAGCACTCTGTGGTGGCTCAGTGGTCTGTAGTTACATCAGGAAGGTCATCCGGCATTAAAGCCATTGCCAAGTCTTTGTGCGAGTTAGTTCGCTGTGGTGACCCCTGAAGAAGGGAGCAGACGAAAAAAAAAGTTCCTCAGACTGATGAAGCCCTTTGGATGGAGGGTGAAACGTCTCAGCACAAAAAAAAGAAACCATCCAGATGACCTGACTGATCATTGTTGGGAATTAATAAGTAGTTCAGACTTCAATACTACTGTTGCAACAAATTTCTGACTTGTATGACTTGTGCGCCAGTTGGACAAAAGTGCCAAAAAAAATATGTGGCTAATAGGAGTGCTTGTTGAGTTAGTACACCAAAAAATAAATAAAAACTTAAAGTGTCCAAAGGTGCAACTAGTGCAGTGCAATTTTAACACAGCACTAGATATCAAAGATATAAAGAAATGCACAAATGGTTTGCCATATACGTGCAAACACAGCTGCTATATGAAGTCTTTTGAAGAAAGCCTGAGCAGTACATCACCTTAACAAATGCCCCGAAGATAAGAAAAGTTTCACTTTCTAAGGGCTTCCAGTTTTCCAGAAGTGTTTTATCCACTGTTATCTTTAAGGTGACCCCAACTTACGGGATGTGGCTCTTTCCTGAGGAACTGCGTGATCTGGATAACAATAAGCTGCCTGAGAGGTGTAAAAATGAAACATAGTTACGGATTAAATTTATTGCAGAGGAAGTTTGAGCTCAACAAGATAGATATGAGCAAGTTGCTGTGTGGTCTCTACAACGTCATCATTTAATATTTAAAACTTGGCTGAACCCGCCTCCTTTCATGCCAGAGATTTAAACTGAGTTCATGTTATGGTGAAAAATTGATAGAAATGTTTTAGTAAATCCTTAAAAATTACATAAAATGTCATCCTGTATAATGAGGTTTCATGCTCAGAGTAGTTATTGTGAACAACTCTCAATTACCGTATTTTTTGCCATATAGGTCACACCTTTTTGCATAAATTTGCAAGTCCTGCGACTTATACACTGAATCGACTAACATACGTTTTTTTCCTCATATTTTAACCCAATTTTTGGCTGACATCTGATTATTTAATTCATTCTCACATAGAAAATATTGAACACTATCATTTTCAGCCACTAGAGGGCCCTCGACT